GGTCTTGAACCTGCAGGGGCCGCGGGAATGCTGCCGTGGTAAGTGCTTCTCTGTACAGGGAGGCCTGTTTCCGGGTGAGATCCAGCTTTTTCAGCTGATGGCACTGAGGGTACAAGACTGTGGTCAGTGGCTACTGCTTTTAAGTTGCAGGGTTTGTTCTGCAATCCCCGCTGGGCCCAGTGCTGCGTGACCCTTCAGCAGCCCCAGAGCTGCTCTGGGCATCTCTGCCTCACTGCATCGCAGATGCTTCCTCCTTTGGGCTCTGTCTCCCCCCCAACCCCCCGTGGGATTTCCCCTTTCACCAAGAAACAGGAGAGGGGAAAAAGAGCGTGCAATTTCCAATCAGAGAACCTGGGTTGGAATCCCAGACCTGCTCCAGCTCACTCTGAATTGGCACGTTTCTGAACTTCCCACCTGGAAAATCAGGGCGATCCCATCTGCCTCAGAGAGTTTCTGTTTAGTTTCTGGCTCCCCAGGAGGCTCTTGAGGCCTGGATTTCCCCACTCAGTCCCCAGGTCCCAAGCACAGCTGCGAGCAGAGGTTCCTGCTGCTCTGCCGGCCTCTCACTGTCTTCTGGTATTTTTCAGCCTCACACGCCACAGCAGCTAGATTTCTAAATGTCTCTCTTTGTAAGTCTCCACTTCTGCATATCCCTTCGCTTTTGGAAAAATAATCTCCCTTCTCTCCCTTCTGGCCTCCCTTCCTCCCTCTGGAGCTGCAGGACCCCGCCTCCCCTCAAGCTCTGGGGTATCCTTTCTTCTCTCCGTCACGAACCTGGCCTGGATCTTTTGCCTAGTGGCTGGATCTCCTGCCACACTCCCCTCCTGTGCCTATGTGAGGGCTGGGGCCTCTCTCGTGCACACCCCTCTGTGCCGTCTCCAGCCCTGTGACCCCGTAGCCTCCAGCAGATGGTAGCTTGGCAGGCAGGTCCCTATCTCTGCAGAGGCTTTCAGAGCAAACTTGTGCTTGCCCATCCCGGGTGCTTCCCACAGTCCTGCCTGACTATGCTGAGTCCCCGCCCTCCCTGGCCCTGGTGTAGGTCAGCATCCTAGTTTTCTCCCTGCCTCCCCTGACAGGTGCTGCCCGGGCATAGCCCTAGATCCTTTTCCTTCATCTTTTTTTCTGCGCTGTGACTTCAGCTGGCCTCACCTAGTCGCCCCTCCTCTGTCAGCCACATCTCCTGGAGGAGGTGGGTGTGTATCAGTGCCTAGTGCACTGGTGGTGGTGAGGAGTAGACTATCCTATCCAGGTGCTCAAGACTCGACTCAGCTTAGTAAGGGCAGTAAAGGGGTGGGGTACTGTCACAGTGAAATTGTGGGCCCTGGCTCGGCGCCTGTGGCTCAACCGGCTGAGGCGCCAGCCACGTACACCTAAAGTGACGGGTTCGAATCCCCAGCCCGGACCCGCCAAACAACAATGACGGCTGCAACCAAAAAATAGCCGGGCGTTGTGGCGGGCGCCTGTGGTCCCAGCTACTTGGGAGGCGGAGGCAGGAGACTCGCTTGGGCCCAGGAGTTGGAGGTTGCTGTGAGCTGTGATGCCAGGGCACTCTATCCAGGGGGACAGCTTGAGGCTCTGTCTCAAAAAAAAAAAAAAAAAGAAATTGTGGGCCCTGTGTGGCTCCTCCTGCCTTTCTCCTCCCCAGCTCCTAATTCCGCTCTCCCCTCCCCACACATCTCCTTCAGTCCTCCCAACACTCCCCTCCTCTTCTTACCACCTGCTTGGTCTTCTTGGTGCTCCCAGTAAGGAAGTAAGTTTGGGAAGTTGCACTCCCTACCCTGCCCTTCCCTCTGCCCTGCCTAACCCTGACCTCCCATGTAGGTCTCAGCTTAGTGTCTCTCTCCCTGGAGTCTTTCTCTGCCTTCCCACTCTGGGCTGTCACCCAGTGCGCCCTGCCCCAGCACATCATGGTGGCACTGACCAGGTGTACAGGCTCATTAATTTTAGTGGGACCCCCACTAGGAGGGCACTGCCCGGAGCTCTTTGTCACAGGACCTTGATATATAGTCTGACCTTCACAAACAGGTTCACTCTCATCTTGAGAAAGTAAGTTTTCCCAGGAGAGATGGGGTGGCTACTCTGCCTAGGGATGGAGGCAGAGACCGCTGGCTTTTGCAGAAAGGCCATGCAGCACCCTGGAGTGTGGAGGAGGCACCAGAATGTGTCTTCATGTGTCAGAGGCCCTCGCAGTTTTATCTTCAAGTCCCTCGCTTAGGGACAAGGAGCCTGCGTCCCAGAGGTGAGATGAACAAGGTCACGGGCGAGTGAATGGCAGAGCCAGCAATAGAAGCCAGGCCACCGCTGCTTGTCCTGATAATTGCTTCCCGTCTAGTAAAAGTTTAACTGTGTCCTCAGCAAAGTGCCAGCCTCTGCCCCAGGGGTGTGAATGGGCTGGCTTCCCTGGGAGGTGCATCCACAGTCCCGTGGCCCTGTGTTCTGGTGGCCTTAGTGCTTCGGGCGGTGGTGGCTGGTTGGGAAGCCAGGCTTGGAGCAGGGCCGTGAGGCTGCATTCGTTACCCTTGGACTTGGTGCTTATGTAGCAGTTACGGGAATCACTCAGTGCCCTTTCTGCAGCATGTGATTTGGGAGGGCTGGGCTGGCAGGGTGGTGGTGGCTGCAGGCGGAGTTCCCGTGCTCACCCTAAACTGCTGGCATTCTGCCCCTGCCCCGTATGAGGATGCCCTGAGGACACTGGGCTGCCCTCTGTGGCTTCTGCAGTACAGCTGTGCTTGGCCTCCGGGTGCAGCAGAGACAGCAGGTGAAATGGTGGGCAGTGAATAGGCTCAGCCCAGTTTCTAGGGCTACTCCCTACTGCAACTGGGGAGGCGCCCTGGCTGCAATTTCCTCTGCTGAAAATTCTGAACCTTCACGATTCAGAAGCTTGCTGGCCAGAAATTTAAAAATTTGAGCATTTTTGCTTTTTTTTGCCTCATTGGAGTCTCTCACTCAAGGCAGATGCCCAGCTTCCTCCTGTCACTGACAGCCCCCACATCAGGGCCCTGCCTGTCACACCAGTCTCAGGCCACATGCTACTCTGTGCACACACTGAGGTCAGGACAATGGGAGCCAGGGAACGTGATGGGGCCACTCTTAACTATTCCTGTTTTACTCTCTAGGTGGAATGGAGAGGAACTAGGACGTTCATACAGGTGGCAAAAATTCAACTTGAGGCCAGGCCAGGTGACCCTGTGTCAAATGCTCCCCAGGCCCCAGTACTTGCTTTTTATCTATAAGAAGGAAAGTGCAGCTTTATTTTAGCGGCTCACCTGGATTCTTCTGGCATCTGCAGGCCACCCTCTACTGGGCACTTGTGGCTCCTGCACAAGCCCCTTGGGCCTGGGAAGGGAGTTGCACAGTCAGGCCATAGGATTTCTTCCCTGGTGGAACTCGATAAGCTCCTATCCTGAACACAGAAGAAATGCTCAGTGACCTGTAGCCTGTGTCAGGTCACTGAGGCTGCCCAGTGTTCTCACAATGGCTCACACCTGTAATCCCAGCCCTCTGGGAGGCCAAGGCAGTGCGTTGCTTGTGCTCAAGAGTTCAAGACCAGCCTGAGCCAGAGTGAGATCCTGTCTCTACTAAAAATAGAAAAACTAGCTGGGCATGGTGGCAAATGCCTGTAGTCCTTCCTAGTTACTCAGGAAGCTGAGGCAGGAGGATCCCTTGAGCCTAAGAGTTTAAGGTTGCTGTGAGCTATGATGCCATGGCCCTTTACCCAGGGTAACAGAGGCAGACTCTGTCAAAAAAAAAAAAAGGAAAGAAAGGGGAAATCTCCGAGTGTCTGAGATATGCTCATATGCTCACTGGAAGCCCTTTCTTGAGTTTGAACTTATAATGCAGCATTCAGAAACTCGGGTGACTACTAACTTGCCTATTCCTACTTAGGCAGCTTTCAGGGAAGCTGGGTGACTAGCTCAGCTGGGAAAGTCATCTGGGACTTTCCTAGTTTTAGCATTGAAACATCCTGAGAACATCCTCAGTCTCAAGTAAACTTGGAGGATTGGTTACCCTGGGATTTGATTAACTTCTTCAAACCATTTATTTATTTATTTACTTATCTACCTACCTACCTGTCTATTTAGAGAGAGAGTCTCACTCTGTTGCCCTGAGTGGCGTCGTTGTAGCTTACTGCAACCTCAAACTCCTGGGTGCCTGCCCAAACTGCTAATTTTTCTATTTTTAGTAGGGATGGGGTCTCATTCTGCTCAGGTTGTTCTCAGACTCCTGACCTCAAATGATCCTCCCACTTTGGCCTCTCAGAGTGTTAGGATTACAGGGGTGAACCACTGTGCCTGGCCTTCTCCAAGTCTTAACGTCCTCAGCAGAGATAATATTACCTACTTCTTAGTGCTGTTCAAGGATGGCGGAGGTCAGCGCCTGTGGTAGGTAACCTCTGGTGCATCAGCCTCCTAGAGCTGCCCTAGCAAAGTACCACAAATGGAGTGTCTTCAAACTGCAGAAATGTATTGCTGCATAGTTCTGGAGGCTGGGAACCTTGAGATTAAAGTGCTGGCGAAGCCTGACTGCCTCTGAGACCTGGTGGGGAGTTTTTCCTGCCTCCTAGCTTCTGGTGGTTGCCTTGTTTACTGTTCCTGACTCACACACATGTCACACTGATCCTCCGTCTTCACAAGGCATGCTCCCCAAGTCTCTGTCGTCCCATGGTGATCTTCTCTGTGGGTGTGTCTGTTTCTGCATCTAATTTCCCCTGCTTAGAAGGACACCAGTCATAGTGTACTAGGTCTCATAATGGCCTCATTTTAACTTGTAAGGTCCCCCTCTCCAAATAAGGTCACATCAGAGGTGGAGGTCAGCCTATCTCTTTGTGGGGACACACAATTCGACCTATGACAGCAGGGTTAGCTATGACTCATATTGTTATTTGCTTTCCTATCTTTATAACCATCTAGAAACCCAGAAAGGACTAAGAAGCAGGTCCTATCCCCAAAAACACATGGTACCGCGGACCCTGACTGGTGGCCCCCTTTGTGAGGAGTTAACTTGGTGGCTGGACTTCATTCCAGTACAAAGCATATAGGAACCATCCCTTTAGCCTCTGGGATTTTGTTCTTCTTGCTGCAGATGGAGCAGGTGAGGAGTGAGCTGCTTCAGGAGAAAGCTGTTAGGCAAGACCTGGAGTGTGACAAGATCTCCCTGGAGCGACAGGTGAGGCAGGTGCCCTTGAGTCTCTCTATACCTGTCACCCGTGGCTTTGGACTAGAACAACTCTGGGGTGTAACTTAGCTGAGAGGGAGAGATGTTTCTCAAGCATTTCCCAGAGAGCTTTTTCCCCAGACATATTAATTCTGCTTGGAAGTTTGGCAGCTGCTGGGAAGAGGAATTGCAAGTATTTCTGAAGCTAAGGAAAGCTAAATTCTCATGTAAAGAGAATGAAAATGAGTCAAGGTTGTCAAACACATGAGTGCTAAGAGAGCTTAACTGGATCACTATTTCTTCTACCAACTGTTCATGTTGATTCTTCACTGAATATAATCAGGGAAGGGGCCTTTTCCTCCTGTCCCTTATAAAAGGACAAGACTAAATCCATCTGATGTTCCAGGGCCTGAAGTCAAAGATTTCATTTGTGTCTACCAGGGCCTCAGTTCAAGGGTTTCCCCCTGGAAACATCTTGGGCCTCCCAGGTCCCCAGGCCCTGCAGTGTGGGAAGCAGCCAGACTCCTGGCTCCAGCCGAGTTCTGCTCTGCGTTGCTCTGCATGAGAGCACGGCAGACGTGCAGGCCCCTCACAGTCTCCCCGTCTGATTCCAGAACAAGGACTTAAAGAGCCGCATTGTCCACCTGGAAGGCTCCTACAGATCCAGCAAAGAGGGGCTGGTGGTGCAGATGGAGGCCAGGATCGCAGAGCTCGAGGACCGTCTCGAGAGCGAGGAGAGGTGAGCACAGCCCGCCTGCAGTGCAGAGGCCTCGGCGGGCAGTGGTGGCCAGATCACAATATGCTTTCACATTTGCGTCTCTTCTGACCCCCATAAGCCTGTGAGGAGCACAGCAAGCAAATCTTGTTGCTGTTCTTTCCATTTTATAGATGAGAAGACTGAGACCATCAAAATATATGACTTGTGGGCGATACCTGTGGCTCAAGGAGTGGGGTGCCCACCCCATATACCTGGGGTGGTGGGTTCAAGCCCGGTCTAGGCCAAAACTGCAAAAAAAATAAAAACAAAAACCAAACATACACACACACACCTGTATATATATGACATGAGCATGGTTGAATACTGGACTCTCACTCCTTGTCCATACCTTTCTTACTGGACCTCCCAGCTCTTTCCCAGTCCCTAAAATAGGACAGGATGCCTCAGAAGCCACTGAGTTTGATTCAGATTAGGGCGGGGGAGCTGCCTCCACCTGGGCACCAGGTGTCAGAGGAAGGGCAGGTCCTCCCATGATGGGAAGGAGAGGTGTGGAGTCAGTGACCACACTCCTCCCAGCACCTCAGTTGTCTACAGCTAACGCTGCTGGCCAGCTCCAGGTCAGACTTGACCCTTATGGCCCCTCACTGTCCTAGAAGGGGTGTGGTGCATGCGATGCTTGACATTATCTATTTGTTTAGTTGGACCTTTAGGGAATTGGACCAGAGCAGCCTGGCATAGACTCAGGGCGGTTCTAGTCCTGGCTCAGCCCCTCACTGGCTCTGCAGTCCTGGGCAAGTCAGTCCTCTTCTTTGCTCCTGCACGGTTGTGTTTCTCTGACCCCAAGCCATGAGCTGGCCAGGCAGCCTGGCTCGAGCTTCCTCTCATCCACAGCCGGGGCTGGGCCTTTGCAGGGCTGAGGGTGAGAGGGTTCTCACATCTGCCTCCCCCAACCTCCAGGGACCGGACTAACCTCCAGCTCAACAACCGGCGGCTGGAGCGGAAAGTGAAGGAGCTGCTGATGCAGGTGGATGACGAGCACCTGTCGCTGACTGATCAGAAGGACCAGGTGGGACTCCCCTCCTCCACTCACAGAGGAGGGCATGTGTCTCGGGCCCGGGAAGCAAGAGGGGCCCGGCCTCCCTGCCAGGCAGTGGAGTTAGGGAGGCTGATTCCTCTTTCTCCACTATGAGTTACATTGCAGAATGGGAGCTTTCTAGCTTACTCAAGTAGAGGACTTTAGGGTCTGGGCCTGGTAGCTCACACCTACAATCCTAGCACTCTGAGGACGGAGGTGGATAGATTGCTTGAGCTCACAAGTTTGAGACCAGTCTGAGCAAGAGCAAGACCCTGTCTCTAAAAATAGCTAGGTGTTGTTGCGGGCACCTGTAGTCTCAGCTACTTGGGAGGCCAAGGCAGGGATTGCTTGATCTGAGGAGTTTGAGGTTGCTGTGAGCTATAACACTACAGCACTCTACCCAGGGTGACAGAGTGAGACTCCGTCTCAAAAATTAAAAAAAAAAAAAGTAGGGGACTTCAGCAAACTTTAAACCCTGAATTTGGCCTTTAGACGATCATCTGGTTATGGTCGCCCTGTTGCCCATGTCCCTTGCTTACCTGGGTCCCCCAGGAGCTGGCCTGGGGGCATCTCTATGCTGGCTGTTCCCCATGGCAGTGCTGAGAACTCATAAGTGCCCTCTCCTGGACACAGCTGAGCTTGCGCCTGAAAGCAATGAAACGGCAGGTGGAGGAGGCCGAGGAGGAAATCGACAGACTGGAAAGTTCTAAGAAGAAGCTGCAGAGGGAGCTGGAGGAGCAGATGGACGTGAATGAGCAGCTTCAGGGGCAGCTCAACTCCATGAAAAAGGGCTTGAGGTAGGCAGATGCAGTGCCCCTGGGGGGCGGGGGGGCGGGGCTGAGGCTTTCACAGTGTGCCACTCCTACTGGTTCAAGCCAGTGCCTATTGTTAATTTCGGGGTCATCTCATCCTAGAAACAAAGGTGGCTATGTCCACTTCAGTTACTCCATGTGTCGGCTTTGTACCAATGCCCAGTGTCACCTGGGCCAGTGTTGTTCCTATTAGCAATGGGGAAACTGAGGGTTGGTGCAGGTAAGACTAGCTCACCCCACTATGGAAGGGCAGTACCTGGACCAGCCTGCTTCTGTCTGACTTAAGGAGATATGAAGTGAAGTTTTGATTTGTGTCCTCATGAGGACTAGGATGTCCCAAGCCCAGTTTCAGGATGCAGCAGCTCTCTGCACCTCCTGAGGCATTGAGGTGAGGGAGTGAGTTTTGGTTCATGCCCACAGGGCTGAGTCTTTCTTGGAGGTTGGCTGTGACCTGGGCCTCTGTCCTGGCACCCAGGCAGTTTTGTTGGAAGTATACAGAGGCTCCAGGCCATTGAGAATCCTGTAAAACAGCCTGTCTAGGGGGGAAATGGCCCCAAGATCAGCACTGGGTACAACATTTAAGGGGATACCCCAAATCTCAGCAATCACAATAGGTAACATTTTAATGCAAAATTTAAAAAATATGAATACACACAGTCCATGGTGAATAAGTTACCAAAATTTCAAATTGGCACAATCAAAAACAGTAGCTCGCTGTGCCCCCAAGGAGCTTGGTCAAAGAGGTGATCAGAAATATTGATCTTGTCCCAGCCCGGCCCAGCCCTGTCCATACCAGCCACCTGGGCTGAAGGTGGGCTGTTGGCTCCCTGTGGCTGAAGGAACCATGGGGTGTGACCTGTGAAATTCATGTGTTTATGTACCATTCCGTGGTACAGAGGGACAGATTCTTCCTTCACCTGGAAAGCAGGGGTGAGCCCCAGCCCAGGGTCAGAAACCCCTTGTTGTTTCTGCAGACTCAAGAAGCTGCCCAGTAAAGTGCTGGACGACATGGACGATGACGATGACCTCAGCACAGATGGGGGGAGCCTCTATGAGGCACCGCTGAGCTACACTTTCCCCAAGGACAGTGCCATCACCAGCCAGATCTGAGCCCACTTCCAGGGCTGTTGAAGTGGCCGTTGCTCCTATGCTCCTGGCAGGAGCTCTGCGGCCCCTGGGACAGGAGGCAGGAAAGCGAGCGTCCGGCTGCAGAGACCCATCGCCGCTGCCTCTTCACTCAGCTTCCCAGTTCCTCAGTGCCACGTTCCTCCAGGGTCTCTCAGACAGGGAGCTGCTGCAGTTTAAAACGCGGGATGCCTGAGCACCTGAGCAAGGGGGCCGCTGCCCTCTGGGGTGTTTGGGAAACATGCTTTGGGAGGTTGAAGCCCCCTGTCTGCACTGCTTCTCCTGCTTCCCCCCTGACCTCCTGCCAATAAAAAAGGGTTCAAAGGGCGAGTTGTGACTGAATTGCCATGGCGCAGGGGAGCAAGCTCCATACAGGCTGCACGTGTTTTTAACCAGCCTGTCTCCTGACTGCTGCTGTTCCATTTGCAGTGTTACAAAGGCTTTGTAGAGTGTCAAAGTTCACACATCTCTATTGTGTATCCTTTTTGAAAATATGAAGCTACTAGATTTTAAGTATTAAGGAGCAGAGGTGAGAGAGAAAAGTAGAATAAAGACACTTTGGATATGGGAGTTGGAGAGGAGTTATAGTGATAATGGACAGTTAATGCTGAGGATAGAGGCGCAGATGGTCTGGGCAAACAACTCTCTGGAGGGGTGGGAGGGTGGGGGGTTGAAAACCAGAAGGTCACTTGTATTTGTGGGCTATAGCTATGGCCTTGGCTGCTTATTTTATCTAGAATTTTATTATAATTTCTGAACCATGCTGAGACTGATTCCTGTCAGTCCATCAATTGTAATTCCTTTACACGGGTGGGTTGGGGAGGCTTGTCAGTAAGGTTTGTAACAAATGCTGCAGTTTCTGGAAGGACAAAGCCCTCTGGTTACCTCTCACTGACCCTCTCATCTCACTGTGGGCCTCCTTGCTATGCCCCCGGGGCCCCTGGTGAGGCAGCAGCAAGATGGGGGACCAGGAGGGTGGGAGGTGGTGGTGGTGGTGAAGGTCATGGGTGTAAGGATGAGGCAGGTCATGGGGGAAGGGAGAAGAGAGAGCAGATGGACAGATGGGTGAGAAGGCAGCCAGAGAAGTTCTTGAAAGCTGGGGGACGTGCGGGCAAGAGGGGGATTATGCGGGATCTCAGGTTTATGTCACGGGAGGGAGGAAAAAAATAGACACCAGCCAGAGGACTCCTTCCAGCTTCCAGGGATAAAGGGACGTCACCAGCAATGGCAATGTGACTGGGAGTGGGTGGTCTGGGGACAAGGCCAGGTGGCTGGGGCAAAATCACAAGGGCCAGGGCATTGGGAAAGTGCAGAGCATCCTGGCATTTCTTCCTGGCCTTCCCATGTCACCTTGCACCAGGACAGTCCCCAGGCATGGCCACAGGTCAGGTCCAGTCACAGCTGGGCCTCCACAGGTCAGCAGAGGAGCAGGCAGCCTGGTAGGGAAGTAGCCAGAGAGGGGACCTGTGGTTGGTTCTATGTTTGGGGCAGAGGTGGCAGTGTTCGGCTGTGTCACAAAGACGCCAAGCATCCCAATAGATGGACCAGAGCGCTCCATGACAGTTGCTAGGAGGTCCCACCTACCCTGGGTCACGGAACCCACCCAAGAGGATGCAGAAAGGTCAGCCGAGGTTAGGGTGGGCTGTTTGAGCCTGGAGCTGGAAAGCCAAACCCTCTCCACCTCTGCTGGGGTCATCCTCTCCACAGCTGAGGGGGATTCTTGCCTCTGCTTCCTCATTTGAGGTGTGGAGAGATTCCTCCTCCCTTTAGCCATTTATTCATTTAGCAAGTATCTTTTTGTCACCTGTGATGTATCAGGCACAGCTCTTGGCACCGGGAACACAGCAGTGGTTAGACAGGTGAAAATGCTGCCCCTCCCGGAGCTGCATGTGAGGAATGGGGGAGAGGGACAACAGTCAACACACGTTGACACGAGGCCGCGCGCCTCTGTCCTCTCGTGGACACGACAAGCCTGGCTCACTGGAACTGAGGTTCTCTGACCCCCAATATGTTCTTTATTCACCCTCTGCTTCCACCATCATAGATACTTGCCTGTAAGCCTGCCTAGAAACGCCTGAGCCCCGCTCCTAGCCAGAGATGTGCCACATGATAGGTCTGCAGCCCCATGACCTTGGGGATGAGTGTCGGCTGTGTGAGAAAGTAACTTGTCCCTCTTTAGGGGCAGTTCTTCCTGGTGCTGTGAGGCTGGCAACAAGAAGCAGAACTGATGGGGAGAGAGAAGAGAGGTTACCACTGAAAACTCCTGTGTCGTCACCCTAAGAGTAGGCTGTTATAAATTCTAACAGTTGTGCTATCCTGCACTGCAATGGAGGCAGCAGTGAGCAGGATCCCTGCAGTCCAGCAGGCCAGAAGAACACTGGCCTGGAAGCCTAGAGAGGGGTTTCCAAGTCCCTCCTCATCTCCCTGCCCAGTGACCTGCACAGGGTGCTCATGCTCAGAGCCACGGGAGACAAGGGGAGGATTAGGGCCCGGTGTCCTTTCCAGGTCTAACACGCTATCGTTCTTTGATTTTATTGCATGTATTATAAGTTTGTTTCCTGTTTATTGCTTTAAGAACTAACCCTGTTCAAGAGTATTTTCTTTAGCTAGCTTAAAAAAGAAATTATTTTATGTAAAAACACATGTGGCCAAATGCAATGCTGAGAAGACAATCATCCTGTATCTTTCATAATTTCTTCCCCTGCTTCTGAGGGTCATTCTACAAGGCTGGTTGGCTTATTCTGTTGGGTTTCTGCTTTGGGGTATGGTTGGTGGCTTTGTGTTGTCATGGGGAAGAGACATTCGTGTTGCACCTACCTCCACAGAAGTGAATTCCTGGATAGAGTAAGATTTGCTTTCAATAAATGATGTCACCCAACCAGACTCGTGATTCTTCCATTATTTTGACTTCCTTGTTTTCTCCAGAGCTTGGCTCTGTGTCCTCCAGGAAGCTACCCAGGTGAATGGCTGGGAGCCACCAGAGGAAGTGGAACTTGGTGGCATTCCAGCCGTGGGAGCAGTTTCTGAACTGAAAGGGATGGAAAGCGGTCAGTGGTGACGGTTGAGAGAGCGGATGGCCCTGGATACTTGTAATGTTCTGAGAAATCCAAACTGTCCGTTCCAGACAATGTCAAGGGAGGAAGTGCATTTGATGTTAAGAACAGACTAACAGGCTCCCCTGCTTAGCTGCTTCCTAACACTAGGGGGTTCTCCTGTAATCCCACCTGGCACACTGCCTGGGTCTCACAGTGGGCACCATGGGCTCCATGTTGTAGGAAACAAAGCAACTTCTCCACCGAAGGGATGTGCTGTGATCCTTCTGTTTGTCCTGTTCTTCCCCCTGCCCTCTGGAGGCTGATGCATAATGGCCCTGGGCCCTCAGGGACTATGGCCACTCTGGTTGGGTGGAGCAGGTAGAGGTCTGGGCATGTCTCCATCACCCCACGCTCGGTGCAGCACTTTCAGTTGGGCTCCCCAGGACCTGCTGGGTGCCCTCCTCTCCTTGTGCTGCGGGTTCTACAGGCAGGCATGACTATCTCCTGCTGTTCCCCAGCCTGGTGGGTTCCTGCCACGCTGCCCACCCACTCAAGCAGCCGTGGGCCCAGCAGCTATGGTCCGGGTGGATGTGAACATCCTACCCATCCAGTTGGCCTGTATCATTGATTCCCCCTGCTGCAACCAGGAGCACCCAAACATAAATGAGATATTCTAATTTTAATGAATCTTCAAACTCTCCATAAATTGTTTGTCTTAAAAGGTATATTGAGGCATAATTTAATAAGTTACAGTAAAAATCACCATTTTGTTACTATTTTTTTGGAGACAGAGTTGTACTCTGTCACCCTGGTAGAGTGCTGTGGCATCACAGCTCATGGCAACCTAAAACTCTGGAGCTCAAGCAATCCTCTTGCCTCAGCCTCCCGAGTAGCTGGGACTATAGGTGTCTGCCACAATGCCCAGCTAGTTTTTCTATTTTTTAGTAGAGATGAAGTCTCCCTCTTTCTCACTCAGGCTGATCTTGAACTTCTGGGCTCAAGTAATCTACCCACCTTGGCCTCCCAGAGTGCTAGGATTACAGGCATGAGCCACTGTGCTCAGCTAAAAGTTACCCTTTTCATTATCATTTGCTTTGAACTGTCTTTAGGCCTCTTTATTTGTCCTGTGTGCCAGGGTCCCCTTGGGAATAAGATTTTTTGAGGGGCTGCCTTCTCCTTGGGCCTTGGAGGGAAGAAACCCTGGAGGCCCAGAGTAAGGGAAGACCCCCCTCTCCCCCAGGCCTGGGACTCATCTCCTCCACATTCCCAGCATTCCTCCTTTGAATCTGAGGATGGTTACAGAGAGCCTGTCTTTGTTGAAAGAGTCTCAGCCAGAAATTTTTCTCTTCTAAATTTGCAAATGATAGAAACGACTCTACTGCAAATTCCTATCAGGGCCTTGACAGCCCCACACCCAGAAATTCCATGCCTTGCCAAATCGACTTGGCTGGGTCTTATGTATCAGACCTGCCAGATACACAGTGCTGGAGATCATCACTGACCTTCACGTGCGAGGCGCATCCAAGATTCCATGAACAAAGAAAAACTGGAGTGTGTTCCCCTGGCCAGGTTACTAAGGCAAGAGAAGGCTTTGGTGTAATTCAGAAAGAGGTTCAACAAACAACGATAGCTATTGGCTGAGTCCGTGGCTCACAGGGGTAATCCTAGCATTCTGGGAGGCTGGGGTGGGCTGATCACCTGAGCTCAGGAGTTTTGAGACCAGCCTGAGCAAGAGCGAGACCCAATCTCTACCAAAAATAAAAAACATAGCCAGGTATTGTAGAGGATGCCTGTAGTCCCAGCTACTCAGGAGGCTCAGGCAAGAGGATCACTTGAGCCCAGGTGTTTGAGGTTGCTGTGACCTATGATGCCATGGCACCCTAGCCAGGATGACAGAGTGAGACTCTGTCTCAAATAAAAATGAAAAAAAAAAATGACAATAGCTCTGACATGAAGGGAGGTTGTGCAAAATCTAACTCAGTCTCACAAAAGATTGTCAGCAACTCCTGGAGGATGGCAAGTGTGATCCAGAGGTTTGCTGGGTAAACACAGTTCAAGGATTTTAGGAGAAAGGTGGAAACTTCAGCCTTTTTGACTGGTGAAGAAGCTGAGACTTTGGGAGGTTGGATATTTTGTTGTCCCTCATGCATGGAGTCAGTAGCCAGCCCACAAGCAGCACCTGCCAGCCAGCCGGCCCGGTGCTACTGCTGAACAAGGGTTTGGCCACAGGAGTTTACAGCATAGTTACAAAGTGGTTTCTGAACTGAATGGAAATTAGATACACTAAGGGTTTCACATATTCATGGCACACCGAATGGCCGTTTTTCCTTGTGCTTTGCCTGGTCAGTCTCAGATTTCCCTGAGACCATGTGCAATCCAGCAGCTGACATGTATTGAACACTGTACCAGGGGTGTCCAACCTTCTTTCATTTCTGCTGCAAATTGGAAAAATAAAGAGTTGCCTTGGGCCACACAGTAAATACACGAACACTAATGAAAGCTGATGAGCCAAAATAAATAAATAAATAAAAGGTCCATGGGTACTTTTTGCAATATCAGAGAATACCACAGATAAAGCAAAACAGTCCTCCAATAATATGAATGTGGCCCGGAGGTCCCAGGTTGGACACCCCTGGAAACCCTTTATGTGTACTGACTCACTTGATTCGCATGACCACCCCTGGAGCGGGTTGTTTTGTGACAAGTGAGGCAACCTAGGCAGGGGCACAGTCTGGAGTCCACACTTTGCTGCCTCTCACCAACCTCCCATGCCCTGGAGGACACCATCTTTGATTTCTGTGTGAGGGGACTCTGAGGCCTCCCATCTCAGTTTCCTGCTTCAGTGGTGGGTTTCCTACAACTTAGCGGCCTGCTGCCTGTCTCCAACCTGAGCACTGCAGTCGGAGGCAGCTGGAAATCAAAGTGAACTTCAGAAGGCCCAGGTCACAAGATGTGGCAAGTTACGGGGTGCTAGCTGTCCTTCCGTCCAACTGTCTTTGGTGCCACTCACTGCTGTGATCTTCAGGTTTCTTAGTTTATCTTTCATTCTACCAGGCTCCCCAGGTTTCCCTGAGCCTGATCCAGGTGGGGTGGCCGCTCTGAGTGGTCATTGGGCTACCCTACCCCTACCCACCCCCCACCCCCCCATCCCCGCCGTCTCATTGTATGGAAGGTGGTCTTTGGGGCAGCAGCAGCCAGTCCTTTTGCAAGGGTTTGGGTGGTTCTTGGCGAACATTTTTCCTCCTAACTCCTAGACTGCTTGGTGATGAAAACCTTCCATAACAATGTATCCCAATAATAATAATCTGCATTTCACCTTAGTCCTACATTTAAAAATTGAAATGCAGATTATTATTATTATTAGGATACATTGCCACTTGAAATCAGCAGATTGTCCCCTGCAGAACACTGTCCACTGAGACCACAATGTCTTACCGATTGTTGGAGTCTGGGAGCTCCAGGATTGGCAGCTTCCTGGATGTGTCAGCTGTCTCAGCTGAGCTGGGGGAAGGCGTTCCTGTGGGTGGGCTGGGGGCTGACCTGTGTCCAGGGAGGGAGAAATTCTACTGGTACAGCAAGCCCCAGGATTTAGGGCTGTGCTCATCTTTTTTTGTTTGTTTGTTTGTTTTTGAGACAGTCTTACCCTGTTGCTCTCAGTAGAATGCCCTGGTGTTACAGCTCACAGCAACCTGGAATTCCTGGGCTCAAGTGATTCCCTTGCCTCAGCTCCTGAGTAGCTGGGATTACAGACGCTCACCACAATACCCAGTTATTTCTAGAGATAAGGTCTTGCTCTGGCTCAGGCTGGTCTCGAACCCGTGAGCTCAGGCAATCTACCCACCTCGGACTCCCAAGTGCTAGGATTAGGTGTGAGCCATGGTGCCCACCCAGCTGTGCTCATCTTGAAGGAAGAGGACAGCATGGCCCCCATCCATTCCTGGTGACTTCCCTGTGAAAGCAGGAAGTTACCCAGCCCTCGATGCTGTGTGCAGGTGGGCGTGGGTGGGTGGTTGTCCCTGATGTGTGCAGACAGAGGTCATCTCATCTGGACCCTACCAGGGGACTGTACAAAGACTAACTATCTTTGCCCTGGGGATGGGCCCAGTAATATTCTGTGGCAGTGGGAATGATTCTTTATTAACACTTCCTAAGATTCCTTAACAGGACAGAAGCTGCAGTTGGGCCGGGAATCTGTATACTTTATCTGATTTAATCTGCACCCTATGAGGCAGCTGGTGATACCCCCTTTCACATGTTAGGAAATACACAGAAAGATCAATAACTTGCCCAAGATCACACACTACTATTAATAAATGTTGGGTCTGGGATGAAGGCCCAGGTCTGCTGTCCTGACCTTCCCAGAGTGTCCCTGCACCTTACCTTGGTCATTCTCACCCTGCTGCCCCTTCAAAGTAGTCATTGCTGACATCCTGAGGTGAGGACACAGGCACAGTGGCTGGGCGTCTGCACTGGGAGCCTGAGGCCTGCACAAAATCCCCTCCCGCCTGCACCATGCTGCCAGCCCAGCTTACTGCTTCCAGCCACCTTCCCACCCTTCCAGGGCGGGCTTGTTTTCCAGGAATGGGTCTGGCGATTAAGATAAACCAGGTGCCTCCGGTTGAATGCCCTCCTGCCTTTGAAAGGGCTGGCTGATAAGCCTGCCCGTCTAGCTCCTGAGTTTGCTCACTTCTCCCTGTGGCCGAGGCCGCCTTGCCTTTCACCCGTCCCTGGCATTGCTGGGCATGAATACTGGGCCTCTTGGCAGACAGACACAGGGCTCCCCACAGAGCCAGGTAAGGATCTCTCTCTGGAGCTCCTGGCTCCTCCATGGCTCCGTGTGCTCTCCCG